TTGAGACATGTCGAGTCGCGTCATGACGTCGTGCTGAAGACGCTGAGGGCACAACACGGGCGAGGCCTTCGCCGGGCTGGACCCGGCTGAGGTTAGGTCGTATCGGTTCCGGCTAGAAGCCCCAGACTGAGACTTTCCAGTTGCTGGCTAGACCGCTGAGCGAAGAGCCAGTACACTCCACAACGAACCTATTTTGGTCCCTCGTTGTCGGTGCGCTAATTTGCTTCTTCGCCTATACGAGGGGCCGGCGTCTCCTACCCAGCCAGGCCTTCGTGACGGGGAGATGAATTGCCAGTAATGCGCTGTCGTTGCCCGTCGTAGAAGATAAGGTAGTCCCTATCACAAGCATTCTTCATTCCCACTGTCGCACGCTGAGCACCATGCCCCAGTCCTCGGCTGCCGTCCAGAATCTCGTGTTCTCCCTTCATGGTTGGGCAGAAAGAGGCATCATTTTCGGTACTAAGCTCAAGACAGAAATTTTCTGGCATGCATCGGCTCCTCTGGGATCATGTCGGATTGGGTGGTAGCGCAACGCCGGGGAGGCGGCATCGTTGACCATGACGCACGCTTCGTTGGTGCACGGGTTTGTTGTTGCCCGATGTGGTTCTTTGTCTCCCAGCGTCTTCGCCCTCGCCCTCGCAACCCCATCAGCCTATTTTCTTTTTTGCCGGAGTCGATGCCGGAGTCGGCGTACATGCTTAAAATCTTTCCACAAGTCAAACATGGCCACGATGTAACACAAGTCGCGACCCAGCAATTTCTGGCGGGCGTCGCGGCGGGGATGCTCTCGTGATGTGGCGTGGATGATTCGGTACTTGACGGCACTTCCCTTTCCAGTCTCGTGATGCGAGGTCGTCATGTCCTGAAGGGGTGATGCATCTCGTGCTTCTTACGATGTGTCGCATCGCGCAAGTGCCCTTGAAGCAGTCCCTGTGCCGAGGCTCCTCTGGCACCTGTGAGGTTGCGTATGGGCTTGGCGGGGTTCGAGTTGTGATGGCTTGCTAGGGATTGGTGGTACTAAAGCTTTCGAGATGCTTGGCAGACGACATTCTTGGCAGACGATATTCTTGGCAGACACGTGGCTGGATAGACATGTACCATGTAGAGCTCAAGGTTGGTATGGGAGCGGAGAGGAGGATTGGTGAAGATGACTTGACAGGTAGTAAGTAGTAGCGCTGCCTTGGGTTGTCCAACGACGACGTGGTATCGAGCTCCACTCCACGTGGGTTGCTCCTTCTTAGCATGACTTGACATGGAATGGCCCCTGAGGGTTCTGTGATGCCTGTGAGCCGTCCGCGCTTGCCGACTTTTCAATTGTCACTCAGGTAGGTAGGTACCTTACCATCAGTCAACGTTGATGCATTCTTTATTTTAGGCATCATAAGGTACCTAGCCCTACCTCAGACTAACCCCTCCTCCCTTCTCGCTGGACAAGCTCGAAAACGCATGCGTCGAAAAATAACAGACGTTGTTGCAGCTCGTATGTCAGCTTTATTCTCGTCGAGGCTCCATTTCCCTTCAAACCATGTCCTTCGGTCCGTGGCTCTTATCACAAGGGCCTCAATCCACTGACTTGACACCCCATCAGGCCGTCTTGGCCCCCTCCGCATCATGGGCTACCACGGCGATCTCCACTTTCATTTCTTCCTCCCCGAGACGTGGAACACCAACACACGTCCAGATCGGTTGGTGATCGGGCATGTACTTGGCAAAATTCCGAATCATGGCAGCGAGCGCCTCATCGTCGAGCGGCACATGATACGAATCAACACGGAAGACCTGCGACCAGCCCTTTCCGCCAGCGTCCTTGAGGTTCTTCTCGACATTGGCGAACGCACGGTCGATCTGGACGTTGATTTCCATCTCGAATGTGCCGTCATCGTGCCAGCCGCCTTGCAGCTCATGTCAGAAAGCGAGTTCATCAACGAGGAAGATGCAGCGAGCGCGAGGCCCTCTTGTCAGGATGTGCTGGGCGACTCACCCTGGCCGGCACACTCGATCCTGTCGCCAACGCGGACTGCTTGACTATATCGATACTTCTCTCGGTTCCGTACACCGACGCCCTCATATGCGTAGTACTTGAGGTGAGACATGTTTACTGTTGATTGGTCTGGTTTGAGGTGTTCAGGAGAATTCTGGGTTTTCGATCTTGAGAGACTTCAACGGCAGCTGAAGAACTTCTCCAAACCGTTTTATACAAGTCCACATCAGGCTCGGGGCTAGGTCATGATCTCATGGCCCCAAGCCCCAAATCCAAGATCGGAAGAGCCGGACGCCCCCACCGAGACGGCGGAATGAGAATTCCACATCTACCCCACACTCTCCACGGAGTTCGCAGCGGCCCGAGAACGGGGCATGCTTGTTTGACGTCACCTCGCCCGGAGTCTTGTTTCTTTCTGCAAGACATACATACAAGCCCGCTCTCGGGAGATGGACTGGGGCAGGATGCGTTCTCCACTGATCAGCAGGGAGGGGCATCATGCCTATGATCCTCTGTCTGATGCCTCCAAGTATCGCCTCAAACATCCTGCTCTCTCGAACTTTGTTCATCAAAAAGTGTGATCAGCAGAGCCATTCACCAGATGAGGTGTCGGCAGCAAAATATTCACGATCAAATCTAGGCTCAATCCTCATCGTCACTCTATTTCCAAGCCCCATAATGGCTCCCGAGACGTGAGTGTTGGGCATCTGAAGCGAGCACTGCGTTTCCTACTCTGCCTCCTTCGGCCCGAGAGATTTTTGGTACACAGGACAGCTGAACGAGCAGGAAATCCACGGACACTCAAAAGGGACATACATCAACGGTCGTCTGGCAGATAAGAACGGTCGAGCTGCATTTGCCAGATTTTCCATCGTCCAGTGAGTGGACCTTGTCTGGCGGGTGTAGTCTTCTACTGAAGCGGCTGCGTCTACAAGAGTTGCTTGTACGTGCCATGACAACCCTATGGTCAAACCATTTTCGACCTACAATAAGCACACAGTAGCCGCACATGTTCACAGCACCAAGCGGGCAGCACGCATTTTCAAAAGCCAAATTGGTATTATCTTCGAAGCGAACAACAGCTACAGACCACATGCCTCTCAATCGATCGACCGAGGCGCGGAAGAAATGGGGGCCGTATTCACAGTCCAGCCCGGATTGATTCGTACATGTCCAGAACACCACCACTCCGAGGCTATGAACAGCAAAGCCCCAATCCACACAAACTCTCCGTCTTGCGCAACGAGAATGCAAGAGTGAGACTACCCCCAGTCGACAGGGTATCCTGGAAGTCCGACCTCCCGTCACCTCGAGAACACCACAGGGTCATCCGCCCTCTCGCAATAGGTCGCGACGCCCAAGAAGAAGAAAAAGAGACGGCGCTGGAGAAATGAGAGTCCGACAAGGGGGACAGGATAATTACAAGACAAATCAAGAAATAAAAACAGTGGTGTCAAGACACCGGGTATTGCCACTCGCCCGTCTCCTCATTCATGTACCCCATCCGCCGCACCGTCTCGAGAAAGTCCTATTCCTCGTCGACGGCGCCCATGAGGCCGTTGCCCCGGCTGCTCTTCTTACCGAGCTTGAGCATGCTGAATCTTTTGCGGACGCTGCCCATCTTGACCAGCCCTGGTGCCTGGTTTCCGCCGCTGCTGACGCTCGGTTGAGGCCGCTCCTCGTGCCTCTCTGCTGCGCCACTGCCCGTGCCTGTGCGCGACAGCGATAGCGTTCGCAGATCGGAGCTGCGACGGCCACCCGAGTCGGTGATCCAATCACCAGTGTCCACGGGTGGAAGACTGTGAAGGACGGGTGCATCGGAACGGTGGGCTCCGCAATATGCTGCGACGATTGCTGCTGTGGTCCTTGTCGAAGCTCTTGCTACGCACACTCGCCGCGTCAACCTCACCTGCACCGTAATGATCCCCGTTCGTCAGTGTCGGCGTGGCTGGCTCCTTCTTTCGGCCACCCAAAAAGCTGAGACGGGCTCCTCGTCCCTGTCGAATCGAGACGGGTTGGACAGAGGCTGCCTCCTCCGTGATGATGCCGTTGGCCATCGCCGTGATGACGCTCTGAGGGCGCGGTGACGAGATAGACGGAGAGGAACCTCGCCACGTCGGAGATGGGGCAGCAGTCACCTCGTGAGTTGGCTGAGCAGGCGCGAAATGGGCGATTTCGGGCGCAAAGGTTGAGACAAAGTCTGTGGCACGTTAATACAAATCTTGGTTGCGTTACGGGAACAAACTTACAAGTCATGAGCTCGTCGTGTCGGCGGCGGAGCATGTCGTTGGAGCTGCGCGAGAAAGTCCCGAGACACCTCTTGATCATAATGGCATGGTCCACCAGGGCCATGCGGATGGCGTTGTCTTGTGGACTGAGCTCAATGTCTTCTTCATCCTCGGGTTCTGGGAGCAGCTGGCGGTAGCACACAACACTGTTTTCCGAGTTGGGATTCACCGAGACACCAACAGCATCGAGAAGCAGCTGCGCGTTTTCGTCGTCGCCCTCGGCGACCCGCTTCTCGATGATCGTCATTTCCTGCGTCTTGCGGACGATGCGCTCCAGTCCCGTCTCCCACGCACTGAGCTTGACGTCGTAGGCACCAACTACCTCGCTGCGCCGCAAGATTGTTGGGAACGGGTCGGCTGTTGTGTAGACTACCTTCTCCGCAAAGTGCTCAGCCACAGGCCCAGTGGTGTTGCGCCTAGATGACACGGAGAAGTTCTGAGGCTGAGAAGAGATGAGATAATCCCGGATGACTTGAGGTACGCGGGCTCGTTGGAAAACGTGGTGAGAGAGGTCGCGATGGGGAGAGATGGCGGAGATGACCAAGAACTGGCCCTCCGAGTCATCAACATCGCCGCCGGTGACGATTTGGGCAGACGGATATTGCTCTTGCATGCGATCGGTGAAGGCGGATGCGCGTTCGGTTGGTGAGCCTTCATACACGTACTGCTTGTCACGCAGGCCAGCCGGGAACCCGAGCCCTTTGTACACTACCTTGAAGTACTTGGGGACCAGTTTGTCGCTTTTGGCAATCGTCTCGTAAATCTTGGCGATCGCGCGTTCTGTTCTTGCAAGCTTCGAAAAGTCGAAAATGTTGGTCTCGTACTGAACCCGCAGCTCCTGGTATGCAGTGAGTGCACTGCTCCAGGCCTCGCCGTCCTCAAAGTGCTTGATCATGTCAAAGTAGATTCGCTCCTTGCGCTCAAATTGTGACTGAGTTGGGAATTCGGGGTCGTGAAGTGCGATAACCTGTCGTGTAGGATCCCAATCGTAAAGGTCAGCGTGTAGGCGCAACGCCAGCCCAGCCTCGGTATGGTTCCTAGACTCGCGCTGAAGGAGAGCCAGTTGGTGGACGTAACGGATGAATATTTCCTCTTTCTGCATGTCTCGAAGGAACTCCATCAGCCGGAGACGGTTAATCATATGAGACGCTTCGCCGGCCACGTCACCGCTGTGTACAGCGACAAGAAGTTCAAGGAACTCATCCACAGTGCCAACCATCTCGCGAACAGCAGCGTAAAGCGGTTCGTCAGGGATTTCGGAGAGTGGATCGAATCGTTCCAGAAGCTCAGTAACAAAGAGCTTTTGAAGGATGCTCTCCGTCAGAGGCTTCGACTTGAAGTACAGATCAAGGCAGTCAATCATCTCCGTCTGGACGACAGAAAGATCCTCGCTTAGGGTCCACTCGCTGACAATCATAGTCTGCAGTACTTCAACCGCCATCCGTCGAAGTCCTTCGTGCACACTAAGGCAGAGCTCGACGATGGGGCCAACGAGTGTTGGAACGTACTGAACTTGGTAGCCTCCCATCTTTGTGAGGCCGTAGCGAGCTCGCTCTTCAATGCTGGTGTCCCAGCCAATAGCCTCCCACGTACGGCGTAGCAGCTCAGCACCGGATTCTCGGACGTCCCCAGCAATCTTCCAAACGGCGCGCCTCTTCTGCTCTGGGAAGGTCTCGAGAGCGAGGCCCGGGCTGCCAACAAGTTTCAAAAGTGTCGTAAAGAACATCTTCCACAGCTCCGTGTTGAAGTTCTCTGCGTCATCGGGATCAGGAAGAAATGACTCGAGCATGATGTTCGAGAGATATTGCAGGGTTTTCATGATGGACTTGTGGTGGAAAATATGCACACTCAACCAGGTAGAGGGGAAAGCCTGGCCGTTGAGAATGCTCATGAAAACACGGAGAGCGTTCTCAAGCAGCACAGTGAGGTCTGCCTCGCCAAGGTCGAGCTGCATGCCGGCGGGAGAGTTGCACAGCGCTGAGAGGATAGCCGAAAGCTCGATGAGAGTCTCGTCGTAGGTAATTTCATCGGCAACAGCCTTGCTCGGGAAAGGATAGGACATTGGAAAGAGGAGGGAGAGTCGGTTGCGTGGCCGCGAAGGCACAGCTTGGATCGACAGGTAAGAGTCGATAAGCTTTGGGATGTAGTCAGGAATCTCTGGCCCTAAGGTGCCAACCTGAGTTGCCAGGATCGAGCAGCAGAGCCGAACCTGTTCCTTCCAGAGATCGGTCACATTCTCCTTGTGGCCCCAGTGAGGTTCAATCCACCTAACCGTGTTCGTGCTGAGCGCGGACTTCTGTTCAGGGTTTGAGAATATGTCGAGCTTGGAGTAGTTGATGACCAGGATGAGTTTGTATAGCACAAGCTTCCCCTTAACGCCGGCACAAGAGTCCATGAAATCGATAGCGATGTGCAGAATTTCTTCTGGAGTGAGGAGTCCAGCGAGCTCGGGAAGCCAAGTGTGAAAGTGCTGCACTGCCAGAGTCTGGCTTCCAACCAGGACGGGCGCATTGTTGCGCATCATCGCATCCAAAGCCTTGAAGATGGTGCGAAGATGGCGAGTAAAGCCAGGTGTTGAGGACGTGATACCTATTCCGGCCTCTTTGGCTTTCTGTTGACCTCTGGCGTGGGTAATGAACTTGAGAATGTGGCGGACGACCTTGAAAGTGGATCGAAGCTTTCGTGACGTTTCCGGTTCCGTGGGCTTCTCTAACAGACGAGTGAAGGACCGAACGAGACAAGGTGTAGCAAAGGGGTAATTGAAGCGGCTCTCGGCGTACTGGTCTACCAGTGGGCCAAGGTTGAATCTGCGATCGTGTACAATGCCGAGGACCCTGACAAGCGCGGTGAAGACTGAGTCCTCGAACTCGTCATTCCCAGCGTATTCGACCAAGATGCCGAAAAGTGCGTCCAGGACATCACTCAAGAGCTTCACAACCTCAATCTCGGGCACAAAAACGAGGTGCTTCAGAAGCGATGGGACCTCTTCCTTTGACGCTTCTTTCCACCTCAGAAGGCCCAGAACAATACGGTCCTGTGAGAACCGTGTGCTGCAGAGGTATGTGTGAACGCGAAGCGTTGCCAGTGGTCCCGTAACTTCGGCGCTCTGTTCGTCGTTGCCCCTAGCGCTCCATTGCAGCGATAGATAACCACCCTTTCCAGTTGGACCAGCCTGTGCCGTTGCTGTGTAATCGTCGATTTTGTAGAGTAAAAGCGCGTGAGACCCGTCCCGGAGGAACGCCTCTTGGTTCCAGAGCGGCATGAAAGCAACGGCAAAGGGGGACCCCGGCGAGTCGGAGAGGAGCATGACGATATGTGAGGTAAAAACGTCTTCAGGGGACACCGAGAGCCTGATAGTTTGGCGCCATGCTTCTCCCCTCTCAGCAGCAAGTGAACGCCATGTGGAAACACCTTCTGTATTTGATGATGCGAATATGCAGTTCTCAATCCGTTGTCCGGAAGTTCGGCGCACTTCGAGTGTGAGTTGAAGATTGTTGGCATGCACGTTGCTGGAAATGGTCGTCGGGTTGCCTCCATAACGTGACAGAAGATTCTGTCTCGATAGAGCGGCTTGGTCGAGCGTCACATATATGTCTGATCTTGGCTTGGTCGGTGCTCCTGAGAAGCCAATCTTGGCGGTCTTGCAGACACCAGCAAGGAGCGTCGGCGTGGCCTTGATGAGTGCATCGGCATCAGGATGGTTGAAAGCCTTTAATTGGACTTGTACGCGCTCCGCCCTCCTGGACCTCTCATAGTGACCAGACTTGCTGTCCATTAGCTCACGAACCAAGGTATCCCACTCTTCGCCGCTTTGCTTGTCAGACAGATAAGTTGGCGTCGGCGACCATACGTTGAGCACCTGCTCGATCGAGTCGCTCTGCTTCATGATCGAGTTCAGCCTCAGAACACCGATTCCCACAGTCCGTTCAGCCATCAAGTGTGAGTCTTGGTTACCGTCGAGGGAGCCGTTTCGTGATCTTGACCCGGCAGTGCTGGGTGGCTGTTGGCCATCACGACTTTCTCCATTCGTGGGGGGCCGCATGTCGGCTCGCTCAGTCACCGAGTCCATCTTGTTCATCTGTCCGCCGCGAGAAAACCCTGTTCTTGAACCTTTGCTGCCCCACATAAGACTTCTCCTAATTGTCTTGTTGCCGCTCGCTGAAGGGGGTTTCGTAGGGTCTTGCTGTTTGAACGGTTGAGATTTAGATCCAGAGCGCGACTCAGGCTTTCCGCCACCAATGATCTGCTGCGTAGCTCGGACCTTGACCACAAGGTACAACTCCGACTCGGCGGATGGCGCGTCGCCGATGTCCTGGGCGGAAAGATCTGCGAATAGTGTCTTCAACTGGCCTGACTTGGCCAGGGTTCCCAGCGTGCCTCCGGGAGGGATCTCGATCATGAAGCATTCTGAAAGTGGAGCGGGCGAGCCGCCAGACGCCTTGGATACTAAGTAGACCGCAAGCGACGTCTCTTCGGTAGAGGCACCAGCAAACCCCTTGATTTCGACCAGGACGTGGTGCAGCGCAGTCAGCTCGACAGTTGGCTGAGGTGGCTCATCAAGAAGGCTCATTAGGGACTGCAGCTTCGTTGTCTCCACCACAGAGTCATCACCGGTCAAGACACGACCTCGCTCCTCGGGATCGCGAACGATGACTTCGCCGCCGCAAAGCTTGTTTACCCGCACCAAGTCCCACACCGTCTTTTCGCGAAGGCGCTCGTACTCGTGGGTCGTCAAGACGTTGTGGAGAAATTGTTGCCGGCTTAGGTTGAGGGAGGTGACAAGTCGCGAAAGTTCGTCCAGTCGCGAGTACTGCCGAGTGAGGAGGAGCTCATGGAGGTTTGTAGAGTGCCATTCTCGCAGGCAGCTCGCGATCTCGTCAATCAGAGGTTCTCCGGCGGAGGTCGGTGTCTCGTCGCCAATCTTGAGCATCGGTACAGGGGCCGCTGGGCGTGGAGCCTCAGGGTCCCGTACAAGAGGGATTGAAAGGCGGCCGTGAGTGCCATTGGTGAGATCCCTCAGAAGCTTGCGTCCCTTTTCGTCTGTTCTGGAGTTCCGAGTACCTGTCTTATCCCTCTTCCGTGTCTTGTCGGCGTGGCCCGCCAAACCACCCTTACCGGAGTCGCTCTCGATAAAGTGCTCTGTGCCAGCATGATCATCGCTGGTGGCATCATCTTCTTCGTTTGGATCATCTGTCTCGCCCAAGACCTCGCGAACCTCGACACAACTCCGTGGGAAAATCCCGCTGAAGACGCGCGCCTCGAGAGTTTGGCCCTTGACAGATGTGAGTCCCGAAAGCAAGCTAGGCGGGGCTACAAGATAGCCGCGCAGCCAGTTGCCGTCCGGGGTTTCCTCGATAATATACAGCTCGTCGCCAATCTCGAGTGGCAGGTCGGCAGGGCATTGCGCAGCAAACGGATACGTCGCAACGGCGAATGCGATCCGAAGCAGCGGCTGCCAGGGCATTTGTGATATTTAACCCCAGCGGGGGCTCTGGACGCGTGTAGACTGTTGCGTAGACTGGGTCTTCCGCTCCTGCAAAAATGCTGCGAGACGGTGACGCAGTATGCGGGCGAACTCCCCGCAATGTTGGGAGGATGGCCTCAGTAAAAGTGTCGGTAACGGTGCTTCATCAGGTAGGAAATAGGATGGGAGATGCACAGCGCGTTCGTTTGGTATATTCGGTGCGGATGGAAGGCGCGGAGGAGGTAACGAATACGGCGGTGGAGGGAGGGGTTCGTAGGTCGGATGCTCGCAAGGCGATCGGCGGTCGCCGTGAGGATTGGTTCCTGATCGCTATAGATTCTGCGCGCTGATGCAAAGCTAGAGCTGAATCAGAAGACTGTAAGCCAGGTGTGTGGATACAGATGTAGTGGTTTACCGGCTGGTTGTCGCGAAGGAAGGGGGAAAAGGTATGTAGCTGGACGTCGTTCGGTCGATTATTACAGCTGCCAGCAGAGTCGGAGCACAGAAGTGGGTCGTAGTATGTGCAAAGCGCAGAGCAAACAGACACAGGAAAGGGAGAAGAAGGAAGGTGAAAAAAAAGGATTTGGGGGTATTTACGGCGCCAGGCGTGGCGCGTGTGTCGAATGCGATGCGTGCTGAGCTGGGCCAGTCTGGGAATATCTTCAGGAGAAAAGCGAGGTTGCGGGAGGTAACGCAACGCGGCGGTCAAGGATAGTCCCAGGTCGGTCCGTGTCCACACGCCGGCTTGACCCAGCGACCACCAAATTATTCGCGGTGCCTGTGCCTGCCAGGGCCTCGTTCAGGGCTTCTGGGCTTCTGGGCTTCTGTGCCCCTATGCCTCTGTGCTTCTCCCAACTGCTGAAGCAGCTGCTGGGCGAGCCCCTGCCTACTGCAGCCCACCAGGGTGAATCGGGACGTCAGATTGGCGATCGTGATTGGACAAAGACTGGCCCAAGCGTTCGGGAGGTGGTGCGCGATTGGACAGGGAAAGCCATCTTGACACTTGGACCATTTCTGGGCTTTTGGCAAGTGGTGGTCTTTGCGCCAACGTGCTTCGTTCCTGCTTCTCTAGCTTCAGCCTGAGGTGCCATGTCAGGCCCCTTCTTGCTGTTTCCCACAATGGGATGGGCTCGATCTCCGTGACCTCACATCACTGTTGCCATTTTTTGTCCTTGCTATGGGCTCCCTCTTCGTTTTCTCTCATCGCACGGTAAGCCTCGACTACGAAACGCCATCTGTGAGGCGGTTATCGATTCCAGTCTCAGATGACAGCTCGCCATCAAGCATCAAATGAGCCGTGCCCACACGGCTCGACGCTTGGCAAAACGCTCAGACCTTTCTGCCCAACTACGTACGTGACGAACGAGACAAAAGGGCCAAAGGGCCCAACCCACCTTCAGCTAGCTCCGCGAACCAACACTCGGGCTCCCAAAAGCCCCCCTCGGGTCGTTTGCATGAAGTACGCCGTCGTCGTACTTGAAGACCCTCCACACGTCGGGAACGAATGTTAAGACTGCCGCCCACCGTCGGCCCGCTTCTCTACCTGCATCATCCCTCCTGGTCGTGGTCCACGATGGGCGGCACACCCAACACCAGCATAATGAACCGTCATGAAGCAATGCGATGGATGCTCGACTTTTAACACTCCATCGGTGCTGACGAGATGAATCATGCGCCAGCTCTCATGCAGTCAGTCGATCGTCCTAGGCGAAAACTCTGAGCGACAATTCTGCCTGTAGAACCATGAACGCCTGCGAACATTCCCTTCTTGGCGAACGGAAGCTCCTGCCGCCTCCTCCTCGAACCCCTTTTCTCTCCATAGACCGCTTGCAGGTGCCCAGCCTGGTCTATCCTCAAGGCGGCTTGTGCCGTTGTGCGCGTGGCGGCGAGCCAACAGATAAATGCCGGACCATCGGACGGAACCAGTGGCACGGAGCAAACCCGCCTTGAGTCGCAATGTGGTGTTCTTTGTTCGGCTGCACTATATGTATGACCTCTGGTCGCAGCCTACCTCGTCTCATCCGGAAGTTGATGCTGACGTGGAGAAGGGTCGCTGTCAATAGTTCAAGATCATGCTACCTTCTGGGGAATGAATCATCTGCGTCTTACATCTTGCAATCGGGGACATTGTCTATGGAGGCGGCTGCCCTCGGCGTCGGGCAGCGCAACCACAGATTGTCCGCCACTGACCACCACGAGGTGGCGTCACCGCCGGCTGGCTGAGACTCTGTTACGCCATGGTTCGGTGGCTTCGTGGCGCTCGCTGTTGGGTCGAGCATCATACCACGATCTTCTTGGCATCGAGCGAGCGCCCGAGACATGGCTGCAGCGTTTACGTTGCGCATTTGGTTGCTTCCACCACATCCGTCTGCTGATCTCACGACCAAAGAGTCTCGACCACGTCGGGGTCTTCCTGATCTCCGCAGCACACGCGACCAATGCCATCATTGAACCAGATGCTTCAGTCCAATGGATGCTCTTGACATGTGAGGGGTCATTCCCGAAGCTCCCGGATGTCATCGGCGGTCGGCCAGGGCTGACACCCGGCAGCTTGAAGTGGAGGGACAATCGGCCCCGCTTAGGAGTGTTGCTTTTGCTTGGCCAGCTTGTCCACTCTAGTTCTTTCTTATTCTTCTACCACTTTTCTTTTCGTGTGGTTCAA